TCTCGCAATTTAACGACTTTTTTCTCGTAATTTAATGAGTTTATTCTCAACATTTTATTTAAACTTTTTTCTCAATTTTACGAGGTTTTTTTTCTCGACATTTAAAGACTTTTTCCTCGTAATTTAATGTTTATTCTCATAATTTTCTCTCGACTTTTTTTCTCGCAATTTAATGACTTTTTTCTCGTAATTTAATGAGTTTATTCTCAACATTTTATTTAGACTTTTTTTCCTCGAAATGTAACGAGTTTTTTCTCAAAACATAACGACTTTATTCTGGAAATTTAATGAGTTTAATCTCAAGACTTTATCTCGACTTTTTTCTTGAAATGTAACTAGTTTTTCTCTAAACTTAACGACTTTAATCTCGAGATGGTTTTATTTTTTTATTATTGCTTGGCCCTAATCCTCTTTCGTACTATTTTCATGGCAATCTCAAAATAAATGACACAAGGTATACAATTAACAAAAAGTTCTAATAGATATTTCAGATCAAAAATTCTAAAATACATCCAGGTGATACATTTTTAAATAAATCAGTTAAACACACCTCTGAATAAAACCATTGTCTATTTACGTTAAAAACAGCATAATCTAATAAAATATGCTTCACAGTCATTTTAGTTTGGCAAATAAGGCATGATGGTGGTTCTTCACCTTTTAATAAATATCCATGTGTAAGTCTTGTATGACCTAAAATACACCTTGTAAGAACAACGTGGTCATACCTAGATTTAAAATTAGTAAAAAAAAAAATTTTTCTTACACTAGGATTTATTTCATATAGCTTATTTTTGTGACATTCATAAACTTTTATTTTGGATGTGATTAATCTTTGCCCAGCAGTAATTTTAAATAAATGTTGCTCAAATACAAAGGCCTTAAGAAATAGGATATTTTAAGCAACTCTTACAAAACATAAATGTCATTAGATTACACGTCACAAAATCAGGCGTACCGTTTTTAAGCAAAACTTCAAATGTTTGCTCAGTCTGAATGTATAAGTGTTCAAAGCACCGTATTTGGTCACAACACTATTCAAAAGTTTGAGGTCAGTAAAAGAAATTAATATTTTACATCAAAAAGGATGCATTAAATGGATTAAAAGCGACAGTAAAGACATTTATAACATTAAAAAATATTTCTAATTTCAAATAAATGCTGCACTTTTGAACTTTCTATTAATCAAAAAATCCTGGGGGAAAAAGTAGTTTTACCATTTCCAAAAAAATATTAAGCAGCACAACAGTTTTCAACATTGATAATAATCAGAAATGTTTCTTGAGCAGCAAATCAGTATATTAGAATGATTTCTGAAGATCATGTGACACTGAAGACTGGAGTAATGATGCTGAAAATACAGCTGCGCATCACAGAAATACATTACAGTTTAACAGATATTCACATAGGAAATGGTTATTTTAAATTGTAATACTATTTCACAATATTATTGTTTTTAATGCATTTTTAAAACAGCCATGGTGAATATAAGAGACTTAAAAAAAATAAAAAATAAAAATCTTTTGAAAATTATACATTTTTAAATAAATCAGTTAAACACACCTCTGAATAAAACCATTGTCTATTTACGTTAAAAACAGCATAATCTAATAAAATATGCTTCACAGTCATTTTAGTTTGGCAAATAAGGCATGATGGTGGTTCTTCACCTTTTAATAAATATCCATGTGTAAGTCTTGTATGACCTAAAATACACCTTGTAAGAACAACGTGGTCATACCTAGATTTAAAATTAGTA